AGTTCAATTACTCATTACCTACACATTGTCACGTTGTGACCATCTTATATATATCAGACTACCCCCAATCTAGTAATCTCCCGACAATTCACGAAGGTTCGAGAAGGAAGTGGCGTGATACAAGTCACGTGACCCCGCTGACGCAACAGTATTATATTTTTTCAATAATAATTTAAGATCACTTACAGTATTGCCCAAATGACGTGTTGACACGTTATTTATAAGTTAAGCTTTAGATTGTGAGTAAGTTAGCTTTCAAAAAGGAAACTGCAAATAATTGTATATTATGATATGGTAACTATATAACAATGATCTTTCTTGTTAAGTGGCTTTCATTTATTTCATAAATCTAATATAAAGAACATAAATACAAGTAATAAACGTTAATATTGCGGGAGAGGGGTCCCGAGCCAAAAAAGGGCCTGATAAGCTTAAGAATATCCGACAATGGGAATAAATGTATGGTGTAGGGGCCTTGTTACTTTTAATACTTGGAGGGGGGGGGGGCGTGTTTTGTAGTTATACCACTGCCTTTAACTATTACAGTTATGGACCTACAAGCACTTAGGAGCTTAATAGTTTAGAAAAATGTGATATAAAACTCATAGAACCTCGTCGCTGATTCTAAATTGCTTTTGTTCGTATAAATATGCGCATTTTCGGTGTTTTTCTGCGAGTGGCGAAATACGGGTATACTTTTTTTAATTACAAAATAAATATTGAAAACTTGGCAAAGGTAGGAAATTGTTAATATGGATATTTTGTGTTTACGAGTTCAGAATATGCTATGTTGGATATAGTATCATTTTGCAGATGATAAAAATGTTTTTATTCTCATTTTAGATCCAAAGGATATTTTTAACTCTGATTTATAGCCTTTATTTTATGACGATAATTTATTTTTTGAAGTGTTGAAACTTGCGATATAGATATTAAATGTTTCCTTCTGTGTAAGGACTGTCATTGGAATATTTTGTTAATACTTTTACTGCGTGTGAGTATATACATATATGTATAATTTCTTCTTAGCTTTTATTTCCTCCACAGTAATCTTAAGAAAACTTTCTTTCGAAGTTAACATAATATTGTCTGGTTTAAACATTTCTAATAAGAGCAAGATGTTATAATTGTAACAGCATTTAAAGTTAAGCACAAAGCTACACTATGAGCTGTCTGCTCTGCCCACCACTGGTATCGAAACCTGGATTCTAGCCTCGTAAGTCCGTAGTCATACCGCTGTGCCACTGGGGGGCATTGTAACAGCGTGTTATATTTATTTCCCCTTCACTCTACTGCAGCTACTAACTGATTATAAATGTTTCATAAATATATATTTTTATTTACGGTTTTCAACTAATTTTGTCGTATCACTAGCACAAAGTTATGACCAAGTCTGATAATTGTATATATTTAAAAGACCGGAGTCTGTAAAATATTGTTACGCCTCCAGTCGTTAGTTAATTTTCCGTAAATTCGTTCCGACGAAACTTTAGCGACACAAGTCCTTTCTTAAATAAAACTGGTTTATTCTTTCCGAATACAACTTTACGATACACTTAATTTCAACAGTCGCTCTATAACAAACACTATAATTCACGTCTCACGTAGCCAACAATATTTTGTCCGCATACATTCAATTACTCATTCACTTCTGTTGTCCCGTCACGTTGTGAACGTCTTATATATACAAAACTAACACATATCTAGTAAATGCTAGGGCATTCTTGAAGGAACAGGATATTTCTAGAAACAGGTGGCGTGATACTAGTCACGTGACCTCGCTGACGCAACAATATTAGTTTTGCATTTAGGTGACGTCCAAAAAAATTTTTTTTTCCTTGTATGGAAGATATACCTTTTGTAGTGGAACTACCATGCGATGTGGCTGTAGGAGTGAATTGTTTATGCTAACGTGTAAAGATTCGTCTTTTATCATATTTCAAAATTTGTATTCCTTTTGTGACGTATATGTACACCATAGAAAGGATACCCACTAAACAAATACACCCTATGAATGAGCCAGTGAAATATGAGCTTGCTCAGTACATTCATTTGTGTGATAACACATTAGAAATTGCATTATCCAATACACTTCAGCCACTTTTGTAGTTCTGGAACCAATGATATTTGCTACATTGCTTACCGAGTGTTTTATAAGTCTCGCACTAAATTAATGTTATTGAAACATCATTCAGTCATGCCGAAGGGATAAAGATATGTAATGTGAAGTATAGATGTAAAAACGCATAACAAAACAACGTAATGGTAAACTAATAAGATAACTTCAAAGAGAAAAAAATATCTATCTGAAAATGATGTATTTATATTAAATTTCATCAACAGTGCCATTTTCCGAATGTCATGTGCCTTATAATTCCCCTTCCGATAGCATGTACCTAAACACAAGAAAGTGGCTTTAGCCATATACAGTAACCAACTTCTGTATTTTAAAATCTATACTCAATCTTGAATGCATGTATGTATGAAAAAAATACAAATTTTCAGTGAACATAAAATTTTCACCTGGAATGTTTGACATACCACACTTCTACTTCCCTTTACCTTAAAACTATGGTAATAATTAATTAACTTGGCGGCGTTTCGAGCAAAAGCTCTTTTTTAAGCCAGAAACAAGACTGTCAGTTTATGTCAATTACAGGAACGTTTTATAATGCAACAAAACGCTAGACAGAACTACGAGAATTAAACAATATAATAGAACTGGTGATTAAAAAACATTATTAAAAATTACTAGAAATACAGAACAACTTCAAGTTATTTCTTTCTTTGCTATGTAAACATTTTAAGATAATAAAAGAAAAGGTATTAAAAATTATAAAAAGCTGAACCGTTCGTTAATACCAAAGGACTTAAACAACCCAATTTAAAAATTATTTCTTTTTCTATAGTGGTTCTTTTGTTGGTGTTAGAGGGGGCATGACGTAAGGCAAGTACTTTAAAGTGCTCAAGAAAATGAATGATCAGCTGTGTTGAAGTGCCGAGCTACAGGTTCATCTTGATCTTTAATGAAGTGTTCTCGTGTACTTTCAGCGAGCATTCGACTGGTTTCTCCATGTAGATTTCGTCACAGTTGTTACAAACAATTAAATATTTAGATGTACAGGTGAAATGGCTATTCACAGAATACGTTGATTTAAGGCCTCTAACAGATGTTCTATGAGCAATGCAAGGGCAAATGTTGTATCTGCTCCTCTGACAACTGTACGTATCAACTTGAACTGCACATGATAGTTGTATGTTGTTCGGAAGTTGACTATGGGCGAGTAAATCTTTAATGTTAGTGTCTCGTTTCTAAGATACGAGAGGTTTGTTGGGGAACATGTGACCAATGGTACTGTCCTGTGTTATGATGTGGAAGTTATCAAACAATATACGTGTTATTTGTGTGTTGGGTGCACGAAACGTAAGTGTAAGGGGAATG